CTGCTTCGGGGGGGGCCTTCTTTGGTTGGCGGCCGCCGCCGCTCCGGGGGCATGAGCTCCCGCGCCCCGCGCGGCTTCCGCCGGGCGCCCCGCACGGCTCTGTTTGTTTGTTTTAATAAGAGAGCTTTAAACATGTCACAGAAAAGCAAGAAACTATCCAAGCTGGGGAGACGCAGAAAATTTAGAAATCAGTATAACTGCATCCAGCTGAAGAAAAAAATTAGTAAACTGAAACAACCAAATGAAGGGGACTACACTGTCCACATCATCATTTACTTCTCCAAACAACTTCCAGACAACAACAAAAATACCTTCATGTATTACAATAAACTTAATCGCAAAATAACCAAAAATGTACTTACTACTCTCAAAAGGAAAAAAAAAAAAATCTAAACCCAGGGTTTATTGCATTTGGATTCAAGGTCTCTGAAAGATATCTATTCCTTCTTTAATTTGGTCATGCTCTCGACTTGACTTCGTATTCTATACCCTCTGGACTTCAGTGGTGAACTACTACCAGTGTACCTTATCTAACAGAGTAGGGGAAATGAGAGAAGGAAACACTAAAAATTAGTTCAAATATACGACAGCAAGGTAGAAAATAGATATAAAGACTATACTCCTAATACCTATATGTGGTCATGAGGCAACAGGTAGTATTTTTTCACTCTCTCCATTTTACAACTGATGTTGCTGTCTTTCACCAGCACTTCAGGTTGGTTTCCTGGCAGAATGCTCTCATATTTATTGCTACAGAATCTGACTTCTAAGCAGTTCCCACCTATACACATCCAGGGTTCTAAGTGAAATAGAGATTACTCTCCTAATTCTATCACTTTGCTTTTCAAACTTGTGTGTTCTGGCTGAGGAGGAAATACCACGATAACTGACTCAAAGTATTTATCCCATCCTAAGGAGAATTCCCAACCTCATAGGTGACCTTCCCTGCTAGCTTTATAGTTTCATTGCTATATCATTTATTATACAAACCAGAGCACTTTGAGCATGAAATGATGCTTTCGAGGTAACCAGTAATTACAATTATTCTAATAATAAATATAAGCCTTAAAACTCCCTGTCACTATCCTGTGAAGCCAATGAATTCTGCATCAGGATAAAAGTCTGACTGCTTTTCCCTTCCAAAATTCTCTCCAAAGGGCCTGGAGCAAATCAAGCCTACCAACATTAACAGAAGGCTTTGGTCCATTGATAATAGGATGCTCCTTATATCCTGTCCCGGGCATAGTATCTTAAACACAGACATTCTTTTGCTGACTTCCTTCCAGAACAGAGACTTGTGTTTCCCTTTCCAGTCACTGATCCAATAATTTGTAAGTGCACCTACAACCTACAAGCCTCCATGTCCAGATGCCCCACCGTTTTGGGCCAGACCAATGCAAATCAGCAAACTTTGTGTCTCTCACTGTCAAAACCAAATAAAAAGGAACCACTGTATTTGAGCACCTCTGAGAAACACTTTTGTCTTCCTCCAGGCCAGGTCACTCAATCTCGTTCTTAGAATAAAGCACATTAATTATGATTTCTGCACAACTTGGCTATTTCCATCGATACATACATATCAGCTCTTTTCCTTCTTTTGCCCTGAGTTCCTTGGTCAGAAGCAACCTTGTGTGGGATAACACAACAATCTATATGACACTCAGTGTGTCCATGTACAGTATTGCAGGCAGGCGCTACATAAAAAAGGCAAATTCAAATCCCAAACATGTCACAGGAAGAATGAATCACGGCCCCCTGCACCAGGTGGCTGTCTGATGTCTCTGACTAATACACCTGTGGCAGGCTTAAAGTTGGTTGCTGTTGCTGGCAAATACTACATACTACTTTGCAGTGGTAGAATACAGTCATCCTTGGTGAGGAGAAATCTATGCTGATGAAGCCATCCTAGGCACCATGCCCATATCTTTTTAACCTTTCCACTGGCATCAGCCTTCTTGGCTTCAGGTTTCTTCTCCTTAGTATCCTGCTTCACAGTTTTTTCACTTGCCATCTTGTATAGTGGGAAAGAGGTATAGTCTTGAGTAGCAGTGGAGAAGAAAAGCTGCCTAGTTAAGAACTTTCAGAATTATGTAATTTTCCGCTTTTCCTAATAAGAGAGATGGCCTGAGGCATAAAAATGGGCAGGGGCTGAAGCCAAGAAGGCTGATGCCAGTGGAAAGGTTAAAAAGAGTGACCCTTGGGAACCAGCAGTTAGCATAATGGCTATGTCGCTGGACTCCCACATAGTCGACCATGGTTCGCGTCCCGGACCCGGTGGCTTAAAACTCACGCCGGGCGTGTGTGCGTGCATGCCCAAGATCCCGAGAGGAGAATGGAGGAGAACGGATTGCGGCGTGACCATCCCCCGTGGGGGGTGATTTCTCACTTTCTGTCTCTATGTCTCTCTCTGTCTGACTGGCAAGCGCACGCACCCTATAGTGAAAATCTCTCCCAAAAAAAAATGGGTGACCCTAAAGGACCAGCAGTTAGTGTAATGGCTGTGTCCCTGGACTCCCATGTAGTCCACTGCAGTTTGAGTCCCGGACCTGGTGGCTTAAACTCACACCGGGCGTGTGTGCGTGCATGCCCAAGATCCCGAGAGGAGAATGGAGGAGAAGGGATTGCGGTGTGGCCATCCCCCCTGGGGGGTGATTTCTTGCTTTCTATCTCTCTGTCTCTCTCTGTCTACCTGGCGAGCGCACACACCCTATAGCAGGTGTGTGTTCTGATGCCTCCCTGTGCATGCCATGTGTACATGTGTACCCGTGATCCCAGCTGGCTGGTGGACTGTGATGTAAAGACCTTGTTAGGGATGCCTGTATTTCTTTCTCTCTCTCTCTCTGTCTCTCTTTTTCTCTCATGGAAGAAATGAATAAACCTTTCTAAATAGTGATATGTGCCAGCAGGTGGTGTGGAGGTTAAGATGGCTGGATCCCACATAGTTGACTTTACAGGTCAAAGTCTCAGACCCAGTGGCTTGAAAATCATGCCAGGTGCATGTGTGTAAATGTCTCAAATCCCAAGATGAGAATGGAGGAGAAGGGACTGTGGTGTGGCCATCATCTCTCCTGGGGGGGGTTTTCTCTCTCTCTCTCGCTCTCGCTCTCGCTCTGTCTTCTCTTTCTCTCTCTCTCTCTGGCAAGTGGGTACACCCTATAACAAAACAAAATAAATTAAATTAAATTGAAAAAGAAAGATAAGAAATGATGTAAAGTGATGATGTTGTGCTGACGAGCTCTGATTAATCACGTAGAAGTTATTTTGGATGGAAAATTCATTTGTATGCTGTAATGATGTATAGTGAATTAATGTAAAAAATAAAGAAGAAAAAAAATCACGTAGAAACCTAAAATGTATATGTGAAAAAAGCATCACACCTGTTATATGAATGTATTCTGTCTCTTATCAAGAAAATGACATCATAACTAAGATTCTACATGATTTGACTGTTACTGTAGAGATGTGGAGGGTATTTTTAACTGTATTGTTATTAAATCTTTAATATTATTTTTCTAATTTGCAGTTACTGTAACCTAACGGCTATATTTGCAGTAGAGACTACTGGAGTGATTCCAAGGTAAGGAGCAGTGTCTAACTCAATGGTCTTTAATGAGGGACTTTCTAAAAGGTACGATCGGCAGCTGAAAAGGATAGGTACCTCTCCCCAGTGTCTGCCAAGAGCAGTCCTTGTACAGTTACCTTTCAGAGTCTCCACTTTAAGAAATCCTAGGACATAAAATATTATTAGAGAAAATATAATAAAAATAAATCCTAAAACCAAAATGAAATGTAACCAAAAAAAGTGTATGAAATGTTCATTGCAAAGCCAATGGCTTTCATAATTCTATATTTAGATGTGTGTGTGTGTGTGTGTGTGTGTGTGTAGGTTTTTTTTTTTATCATCTATGAAATCTGTCTTCTGAAATGACAGAGACTTGCTGTTTTCCTGAGGCCCTGATACTTTTTCCCTATATATGACACCCTAAAAACTTTATGCATTATACCAGGATGCAGCAGGAAGGAATTTCTGAGAACTATTACTGAAGAAAGGGTCCCTTTTTATTCCACTCCACTCATAGCCAAACTTGCTATCAACCATATCTCTCAGTTCCACTTTCCCCAATGTAGCACAGGGCTGGGAGGCAACAGTGGCTGTGCCTCTGGCTCTAAGCCTGGGCCAGCATACATCCACTGACCATACATACTTCCAATGAGTCCAGGAAACAGGGAGTATTTCCACTGGAGAGCAGAGTCTGAATACTAAAGTTAGGACCTCAAATGACTTTGTTGCTCTGTCCTTGGCCTATTATTTTGGGTTTATTTTGTTTTGTTTTGTTTTTAGTTTTTGTAAAATGTTCAACACAAGGGGCCAGCAGGTGGTGTGGAGCTTGACTCCTCCACGGCCAACAGTAGTTCAAGTCCTGGACTTTGTGGCTTGCTTGCTCGCTCTCTCTCTCTCTCTCTCTCTCTCTCTGGTGAGAGCATGTGCCCTATAGCAAATAAAAGGATAAGAAATAAAATTAAATAATTTTAAAAAGGAGTTAAACACAGGTAGAAGAAAAATTAACTCATGGCTGTACTTTAAATACTACTAATGCCTCATTTTTTTTTTATGTTTAAGAAAATCAATGGTGTGTATTACTTGTAGATGAGATAAACCAAGAGTTGTATGTAAGTAACTTTGGGAAACATGTATAGCCTCCTTGCAGTGACTCTTCTTGCTCATTAGGTTGCTATGTTTAATTTAGGTGAATCTAGAGGTCTGTCTACCCAAGTAGTCAAGTGTGTTAGGGAGGAGAGGGGTAAGCACAGGAGGAGGACCTCACCTATTCACCCAGCTCTTACCTGCCAGCAGCTCTATCCCTGAATCTGGACACAGCACAGAGGTAGTCCTCTGAGTTAGTGACTATAGTATCATGGAGCTCTGTTAAGACTTGAAGGGTTCCAGAGACAAAAGGGTAGGCAGTGGTGAGTATCTTCCTACAAACTGAGCCCTTTCATCAGCAGTGATGAGATCAGTCTGTAGAAGGCAGAAAACTTGGCACTGTCCTTGCTTCTAGCCCAGTGCTCAGCCCTTCTACCACTTCTGAAATGTTCTCTCCTGCCCTCTGGAATTGCAAGTATTCAACCAGCAAACTCACCTAACCTCAACTGTCCTCTAAGCCCTCCCAGCTTTGTAGGTTAAACCAAGCTCTCCCCTGTGTACACTGCTTCACGGACACTGCTTCATGGAGACTGATCACCTCACCCCTCCCAAGTGATACCACTTTTCTTTTTCTCTTCTCTTCTCTTCTCTTCTCTTCTCTTCTCTTCTCTTCTCTTCTCTTCTTTTCTCTTTTCTTTTCTTTTCCCTTCTTCTCTTCTCTTTTCTTTTTCTTTTCCTTTTTAATATGCCAGAGGGAACATATTCTCGCCAGGAAGAGAGAGAACGTGAGAAAGCAATCCCCATGAGGAACACTCACTTCAATACTTCGCCCTCCATTTCTCCCTCCTTTCAGGATTTTGGGCACACATGCTCACGTGCCCAGCATTACCTTTAAGCCACCAGGTCTGGGACTCAAATTGCACAGTTGGCCATGTGGGAAACAACTGTCACAACCAACTCACCACACCTCAGGCTGGCCTCACACTGCTTTTTTAAATCTTCCATATACCTCAGGCCACATTACCACTTCCAGATCACTGTTTATCTTGGTTCTTATAAAACAAAACTAAATCAAAATAAATCATACACTGATCCTTTGAAGCTCATGCCATCTCACGTAGCCCTGGCTCACTCTGTTTCAGATCTTATCTAATGAGCTTCTTCCTCTGATAGGCTTTCCTTAACAATCATCAGAGGAACTTGTTTCCACCTTTATAGAGAAGTAGAAATTGCAGAGAGGAGGAGGGACCGGCAGTTAGCATAATGGCTATGTCACTGGACTACCATGTAGTTGACTGTGGTTTGAGTCCCGGACCCAGCAGCTTAAACTCACACCGGGTGCATGTGTGTGCGTGCCCAGGATCCTGAGAGGAGAATGGAGGAGAAGGGACTGTGGCGTGGCCATCCTCCTGGGGGGTGATTTCTCGCTTTCTATCTCTGTCTCTCTCTGTCTTTCTGGCGAGCACATGCGCCCTATAGCAAAAACCTCTCCAAAAAAAGAAAGAAATTGCAGAGAGGAAATCTTATTCCTGATTCCAAACATAAACACCCACTATCATTTATACACATTCTCTTTTCTTCCCACCCTGTTGCAATAAAGGAAATATTTCTCCTCTTTACATGTAATTCTTCCACCTGTGCTTTGCACCCTATCCCTTCCCACTTTCTAAGGAAGCTGTCGAATTAATTATTCCTTCTCTCTTCTGTAGAAGGAGACTTCAAAAGTTCATGAAAATGAAATTAATGTGTGATTGGTCTTGGTACAAAACATTTTTGAAATCTATACATAGTTTTTTCGCACTATGCATTTTCCATGAACTTCTCTAAGACCCTGGCATATTGCCAGTACCTCACACAGTGTCTGGCAGATATCATATGGTGAATTATTTAATAAAATCCCATTCACTGGGACTCAAATTATACACTTAATCTGGGTTAAGTGTATAACCACAGTGGAGAAAGGTCAGACTAAAAGGACTGGGAACCTGGGAAAACTGTAGCCCTGAGAACAAATAATTATGGCTTAGAAGGAAACCAAAAACATCAGATACCAGGACTTCAAGTAAGAAATAGCATAGTGTCTGGGTTAAGAAACAAATCCACTCTGATGGCAAATACCCATATAGAGGCCCAGGTGAAAGGCAGATGTCAGGCACCCTATTGAGAGGAGCATATAATAACTGGTATCCCAGCCCCAAACACACACGTCTGGTTGACCCTCAGGTACCTCAGATTCAGTAGGCCCCAATGCAAATCAACCATATTCTCATACACCCTCAAAAAAGCTCTCCTTTGGGGGCCAGGTAGAGCATGGTGTTTAAGGCAGCTGGATCCCACCTGGCCAACTGTGTGATTCAAATCCTAGATCTGGGCAGCTTGAAGAACACAGTGGGCACACATACGTGTGTATCCAAAATCCCAAGAGGAGAATGGAAGAAATAGGATTGTGGTATGGCCGTCCTTCGGGGCAAGAGGGTTGGATTTCTCACTTTCTCTTTTTCTCTTTCTCTCTCTGTCTCTCTCTCTAGAAAGCACATGAACCCTATAACAAAACTGCAAAAAATAAAAAGTGCTCCTTTTTCTGAATTTCCTATATCAGTGAATGATGACACCATTCTCTCAATAACCTATACCTGAAATTGGGAGATGTCCTTTATTCCTTCACATGTCGCAAACCCTCCATCTTAATCATCCAAACTGATCTGATCTAACTTTTTTTTAGAATAAAAGTAGCAATATTTTAGTCAAAAGTCATAGAATGCTATTTCACCAGTTCAGTCTCATGTACTTAATGTATCTTCTGTTGTGGTTTGATCTTCCTGATTGAATTCTGGGATATAATATTCAACTCCAGACTTGTTCTTATGATTAAGTTGGCCATTTTCTTAATTTTTCAACTCTTATTTCTGTGTGTCTGCATTTAATTTTCCTGACATAGCACTCCCTTAAGAACTTCTTGGATGGGAACCAGCAGTTAGCGTAATGGTTGTGTCGTTGTACTCCCACATAGTCGACCACGGTTTGCATCCCAGACCTGGTGGCTTAAAACTCATGCCGGGCACGTGTGCCCAAGATCCCGAGAGGAGAATTGAGGAGAAGGGATTGCGGCGTGACCATTCCCCCTGGGGGATGATTTCTCGCTTTCTGTCTCTCTGTCTCTGTCTGTCTGGCGAGTGCACGCACCCTATAGAGAAAAACCTCTAAAAAAAAAAAGAACTTCTTGGAGATCTGGTCTGGTGCTGGTAAATTCTTTTAGGTTTTGATAATCTGAGAATGTTCTTGTCTTTGTCCCATATGAAGAATAATCTTGCCAGGTACAGTATTCTTGGTTGCGATTGCTTTTCCCTTAACATTTTGAATATATTTTTCCATTCTTTCCTCACTCACATTATTTCCAATCAGAGGTCTGCTGTTAGTCTGATGGGATATCCTTTGTAGGTAACTTGCCGTTTCTCTCTTGCCAATCTTAGTATCTTGTCTTTGTCTGTAGTTTTGTTCAGTCTAGCTATACTGTGTTTTGGAGAAGATCTTCTTGGGTTGATTCTATTTGGGGTCCTTTGTATTTCTTAGGACTGAATCTTTGAGCACCTCTCTAGGTTTGGAAAGTTTTCTTGCAGGATTCATGTAATAGATTATCAATGTCCTTATGAGTCTCTTCACCTTCTGGAATGCCAATTATCTGGATGTTTGGACGTTTCATGGTATCTAGTACTTCCTGTATATTATTCTCAAATTTTTGAGCCATTTTCTCAGTCTTTGTGGTGGATTTTTTCTAGGCCAGCCATTTTCTCTTCTACGTCTGAGATTCTATTTTTTGAATCATCTAGTCTGCTTTTAATACTGCCAAGGGAGATTTTGACTTTTTGTATTATAGACTTCATCTCTAGCAGTTTCATTTGAGTCCTTTGTAAAGTGTGTAATTCCTCTTCTAGATCTTGCAAGAATTTCCTCTCCTGGAACTCGTCAACTTCTTTCTCCTTTCTCTTTAGCAGTTCATTATCTCTCTTCTCTTCCATCTCTGTTAGCTTCAACATTATGAATGCTCTAAATTACTTATCAGACATTTCCATGATTTTCACCGAACTGCTTGTGGATGAAGAAGAGTTACTCTTTTCCCTTGGAGGAGAGGTACTTGCTTTCCCACGTTTCTTGTGGCCCTGTGGTGATTTCTAGTCATCTGATGGATGGTGTGTTTCTTCCCAAACTTGAAGTTCAAGCTGAGCATCCAGGAATGTGAAGAATAGGAAACAGAGAGAGAGAAACAAGAGCAATAAAACCAACCAAGAAACAGAGAAAAAGAGAAGGAAAAAACTAAAAAAAAAATTTTTTTTTAAAAAGCAAAAATTAGAAAACCATGCAGCACACAAGCATGCTGCATGGAATCACTAGTTCTCAGGAGCCATGAATGTGTCTTCTGAAGGCCTGTTCCCTTGCCTCTCCTGGGTTGGGAGGAGGAGAGGGAATTATTAACAAGATAAAGGGAAAGGAGGGGCTGAAAGCCAAGAAAATGCTTTGTTGAAGTATTTTGATCAACTAGATTGGGTAGAAATGTTCACATATAGAAATGTTCACTTTGTAAGTTAAATGTGATTGAATGCATACAAAAAAAAAAGAAAAAGAAAGAAAATATACTCAGCGATAGTAAAATGTAAAAAGAAAAAAATTTAAAAAGGAAAAATTACCAAAACATGAGAAGACAGAGACAAAGGTGAAGAGAGACAGAGGTAGAGGCAGAGAGAAGGCTTGAGGGAGCTCCTACCACTCAAGTTTGTTTGCTGGAGGCTGAATTATCTGTAGAAAATCTTCATTTCTTTTTTCCCTGAAATCACTAGTTCTCAGGAGCCATGAGGGTGTCTTCTGAAAGCCTAAAAGCCTGTTCCCTTGCCTCTCCTGGGTTGGGAGGAGGAGAGGGGATTATTAACAAGATAAAGGGAAAGGAGGGGCTGAAAGTTGAGAAAATGCTTTACCTTAAAAAAAATTTTAAAGGAAAAATTACAAAAACATGAGAAGACAGAGACAGAGGTAGAGAGAGACAGAGACACAGACAGAAGCAGAGGCAGAGGCAGAAAGAAGGCTTGAGGGAGCACATACCACTTGAGTTTGTGGGCTGGAGGCTGAACTATCAGTAGAAAATCTTCATTTCTTTTTTCCGTGAAATCACTAGTTCTCGGGAGCCATGAAGGTGTCTTCTCTGATCTGATCTAACTTCTAAGTATACCCAGATCTACTGACTTCTCTCCATTTCTTCAGCCACTGATTTAGTTATAATTCTCATCATTTACCATGTACCTCAGAACTGGTTTCTCTGCCTCTACACTCATGCTTCTCATTTTTCCATTCTACACACGCAACAAGAATCACCTTAAAATATTGATCCTATTGGGTTGTTAGAAAGTCATGATGCATTTTTGCAACAGATGGTTCTCATTCATTTCTTGAAGGACAAGAGTCATTCACATCTATGTTATTGCTATGTCATTTGTCAGTTGACAGTTCTAGCTTCATTCTAAATAAATAAATGATTCATTGAGTTCTGGATATTTTACAACAAGTTGGAGATGGAAGACCAAACTGCATATTCGGCATATTTTACTGTTTTACTTTTATATAGGGAAGAATGTGTGTCAAACTTTTGAAAAGTTGCATATAGTTTATGGTGACAATGCTCTAAAGGACGTCAGTGCCAACAATGGTTCACAAAATTCCGTGCTGATTATTTAAATCTCAGCAAGCTCCTCAGTCAAGGAATCCCACCAATGTTTATGACAACAATGAAGGCACTGATCCAGTCAAACCCATGCTACACCACACGAGAGAGTGCAGAAACAATGACCATCCATCATTTAAATGTTCATGACCACGTGAAGAAGCTGGGATACATAAGCAAGCTCAATATTTGGGTTCCTCATGAACTCAAAGAACTTCATTTGGTGGCACATATAAACATCTGCAATATGCTCATTAAACATGAGACAAACGATCCTTTTTTGAAGCAACTGATAACTGGTGATGAGAAGTGGATTGTTTACAACAATACGGTGTGCAAACAGTCTTGGTCCCGATGTGATGATTTGACTCAAACGACACTGAAAGCAGACAGTCATCAGAGGAAAGTTATGCTCTCAGAGTGGTGTGATTTTAAAGGTGTTGTGTTTTTCGAGCTCCTACCTAGGAACCAAACAATTCGAATGTGTAGTGTCAGCAATTGTACAGTTTGAATGAATCTATCATCCAGAAATGTCCAGATCTCGTTGATTGTAAAGGAATTATGTTCCATCATGACAATGTGAGACCACACACAAGTTTGATCACCCATCAAAAATTATTGGAACTTGGATGGGATGTGTTGCTACACCCACCCTACTCGCATGAACTTGTGCCATCTACTTGTTTCATTCTCTCTCTCTTTTATTTAAAAAAATGTTAAAGAGGTTTTTGCCTTAGGGCACATGTGCACACCAGAGAGAAAGGGAGACAAGAGATAGTGAGAGAGAAAAAGAGAAATCATCCCACGGGAGGAGAGAGCCATGCCACAATCCCTTCTCCATTCTCCTTCCATGATTTTAGGCATGCATGTACACACTCCTGGCTTGATGTTCAAAATCACCCAGTCCAGGAGTCAAACCATGGCCAGCCACATGGGAGTCCAGCAATGTAATCACTATACCATCTGCTGGCCCCTGTTTTTCCCTCTTCAAAACTCCATGTGTGGTATGATGTTCAACTCAGATGAGGCTGTAAATCAGCATTTTGTTCAGTTTTTCCCCGATAAAGGCAGGTCCTTCTGTGAACAAGGAATTATGAAGTTCACTGAAAGATGGCAAAAGATTATCAAACAAAACAGGTAATATATCATTGATTGATCTCTGCTCTTTATATAAGTAAATGGTCTTTGAAAAACATAGAAAAAGTACATCATAACTTTTTCGACAACCCAATATATCCACCTCTGAAGCTCCCTCTGCTGCTAGGCTAATATCTAAACTGTCTAGGTTATCATAAGCTGTCTCATTTGGCCCCTGCTTGCATCATTCCTCATCTTCAGTCATTCTGCCTGGTACCCATGTTCCAGTCATACTGAACCAGTTTCAGTTTCAGCATGAATGACTGGGAGCGATCTTAATGTTTTCCCAAGTGTCCATGCCTTTGCATGTGCATCTGGCTTTGCAGAAAATGCTGCTCCCATCTTAGTCTCTCCCTCCACTCCCAGGCATTTTTAAAATCTAGTTAACTTTGATTTCTGCATCTACTCCTATCTAGCTACCTTCTTCCCATACCCAGTTCAAAGGTCTCCTCCACTAGAAGGCCTGTGATGTGAGGCTCTCACAGAACCTCACACTTTCCTCTCACATTATTTTGATCACTCCGTTTACTTTCCTCCTTGGTCAGCCACAAACACTAAAAGGTAAACACCTCAAGGGTGGATATCATTTCTTATTAATATATATTCTCTGTCAATGGCATAGTAGCTATAGCTATTCAAAATTGTTTGACTTGGGCTGGCCCTGTAGTTTAGTGGATAAGGGAGCCAGATCCTGTATGGTCAACGGCAGTTTCAATCCCCACCCTGATGGCTTGAAAAACATCCTGGGCACATGTGCGTGCATGTCCAAAATCCTGACAGAATGGAGAAATGGAAGAGAAGGGACTGCAGTGTAACCACACCCAATTAGGGTAAATACTTTCTCTGTGTGTGTGTCAGTCTCTCTGTCTATCTCTTTCTGGCCATTGCATGCACCCTCTGGCAATTAAAAGATAAGTTGTTTGACCAAATAAATCAACAACCACAGTGTAAACAATAACTTCTAATGGTCCCCCCCCCTTTTTTTTTCTATTTCAGACCAAATGCCTACCTGGTAGCTTCTTTGCTCTTTGTCCTGATGCTGTTGTTCCTCAGTATTCTAGTTTTGAGCTACTTCCACTATATGACTATTTACAGACAAAATATTTATGAACCACTACACAAACTACAAAGCAAACAAAAGAAAAATTAGGAAAACCAAGTCTTTTACTACGGATATATGTATGTAGAGGGAGTGTGCATATATGCTTATATTGACAGTGTGTGTTTGATCAAGAAATACTAAATGTAAGTTCAAAGTGTCATCAGATTCAAGAGCAAAAAATGTTCTTAAATTATCCCAAAACAGAAATAATTGCATGTATATACATATATATAGTGTTATTAAGTTAATCCTTAATGTATTTGCATTCATTTTAAAGGTTCTATGTACAATCTTAGATAGCATTTTAAAAATAATAAATTATATTTGGCTATTACAAGTCTTACTAAGAATGAAATTAAAATTTTTTAAATGTATAAATATGTCAACAATTATCATTTTATGTGAAGTTTTTCGTATTAAACCTTAGATAGCTGTAGTTAATATATTATTCAAGATTAAGAAGAGACTGACAGGGCATAGTAGTTAAAGTGTTGGACTCCGATGGGGCTGACCGCAGTTCAAGTCCCAAACCTGGAGGCTTGAAACTCATGCCAAGTGTGTATGCATGCATGCCCAAAATCCCAAGAGGAGATTGGAGAAGAAGAGATTGCAAGATGGCTATCCTCCAGGGGGGTGATTTCTCACTCTCTCCCTCTCTGTCTCTCTGGAGAGCACACATATCCTGTTGCAAAAATCTCTCTTAAAAATAGGTTTAATAACTGTGCAAATTTAAATACTCATAGGCAGATTTCAGAAGTTTGTCTAGTGATATGAAATATAAACTATATTTTAAATGAGTGATTGATGCCCTATGTTTTTTTGTTTTGTTTTATTCTGTGTTTTTTTTTTTTTTTTGGTTTCTTTTTGGGGGTTTTTTTGTTTTATTCTGTTTTTTTTTTTTTTGGTTTCTTTTTGGGGGGGGAGAGGTTTTCACTATAGGGTGCGTGCGCTGGCCAGACTGAGAGAGACAGAGAGACAGAAAACGAGAAATCACCCCTCAGGGGGGATGGCCACGCCGCAATCCCTTCTCCTCCATTCTCCTCTCGAGATCTTGGGCACGCACACATACACGCCCGGCGTGAGTTTTAAGCCACCGGGTCTGGGACGTGAACCACGGTCGACTACATGAGTCCAGAGACATAGCCATTACGCTAACTGCTAGTCCCAATGCTCTATGTTTTAATTCTAAGTTTTCAAAGTTGATTTTGATGCTCACAATAAGCTTTTGAATTTGTCCAGACAACATTTGTTTCAGGCAGGGTTCAACAGACAAGCAGAACCAGAAAGGGGCGTGTGTGTGTGTGTGTGTGTGTGTGTGTACATGCACAAGGAGATTTATTTTAAGAGAATTGGCTTATGTGTTTGTGGAAGCTGCCTAGATAAATCTGAACTCCACAACACAGGCCATCAGGGATGAAAGCTCAGATGTGGGATGAAACTTTATAGGCACAGACGGAAGCTGTTGTCCACAAAGATTTTCTATTTTACTAAGATCTGGAATGATACAGGGATACCTACGATTCATCACTGTTTTAAAAGTTCTGATATTGGGGCAAGCAGGTGGTGTGGAGGTTAAGGCACAAAACTCTCACCTGGCAGAATGCAGCTTGAATCATAGACCTGCGTCTTGCTTTCTCAATGTCTCTCTCTCTCTCTGTGTCTGTCTCTACTGAATGTGCATGTCTCCTAGCAAATTTTTTCAAAATTAATAATAATGGGAACCAGCAGTTAGCGTAATGGCTATGTCGCTGGACTCCCACGTAGTTGACTACGGTTCGCATCCCGGACCCGGTGGCTTAAAACTCACGCCGGGTGCGTGTACGTGCGTGCCCAAGATCCCAAGAGGAGAATGAAGGAGAAGGGATTGCAGCGTGACCATCTCCCCTGGGGGGTGATTTCTCGCTTTCTGTCTCTATGTCTCTCTCTGTCTGTCTGGCGAGCGCACGCGCCCTATAGCGAAAACCTCTCCAAAAAAAAAAAAATTAGTAATAATGATAAATAAAGTTAAATAATTCTTTTTTAAAAAGGTTATCACATTATTTTAAAAAAAGGTAAAAAAAAAAACAGTATGAATATTGGGGGAAAAAAAGATACAGTTTTCTCTTTAAATAATAAGAGTATAGGCCCTAAATTCATTACCAGTTTTACCAGAACAAGAGAATTTGACGACTTGGTGATGGACAAATATTTAAAAATCAATACCTTTTCTCCATAACAACCATAATCAATTAACAATAGAAATAATCAAAGATAATCTGTCCCTAGTAGTGACAAATTACATAAGATTCAGGTTAATATGAAAAGTGCATGACCTACATGAAGAAAAGTTTAAAATATTTATTGAAAGAAGTGAAACAAGATCTGAAACTTGATAGGCAGGAAAAAGATAAAACTACCCAAGAGAAAATGAGCAAAGAATATAGTCATTTCACAGAAGAGTAATTAAAGATATTGCAAGCAACTATTTATTTAGTGTTTACCATATGCCAGAAACTGCTCTAATAACGAATCTCCCTCAACAACCTTATAAGAGAGGACCTATTTTTAGCTCATTATAGAGGTAAGGAAACTGGCAAATGGAGGATGAAGCATTTTTCTCGGTCATCTACCTGGTAAGTGATAGAGCTGTGATTTAAACTCAGGCAGACTGGCTTCAAAATCCAGTTCTTGTGTACCACTTCCCTCATGAGCAGCTGCAAATAGGAGTCAAAGATACAATGAGGCTGCACTTCTCACCTGATGGCAAAAATCCAAAAGGGCAATCATCCTGTGATAGAATGTCAGTCATAGAGCAGAAGAAAATTCTCTTGCATTTTTGAAGGAAATATGAATTGGTACAGCTTTTTTGGAAAGCAATCTGGCAAGATCTATTAAAGTTTAAAATGTACATTTTTGGGGGACCCAGCAATCCCACCGTTAGGAAACTATTCATAGGGTGGATAGAGAGGACCAATATAAAGATATGTGTGTGTTTGTGTGTGTGTATGTGATAGGTAGGTATAGTTATAGATATAGTTAGATAAATATATATAGGTATGGATATGTGGCATCATTGGTTATAGTGGTGAAACTCTAGAGAGCTTTATGCCTATTGATAGGTAAATAATTAGTTGAATAAACAATTGTACATTACCCACATAACCTGTACTTGTTGGTTTAAAATGTCTTCCTACAAGGTTTTGTTAAATGAGGAAAGCAAGTTGCAGAGAAGTAGCTGCAGACATATGATCCTATTTTTATATAAACAAAACACAAACTCTGTCTATGAGAACAAAGGAAGCATATATATATGTGTGCATACATGCTTGTGTATGTACATTGCAGGAGGGGAAGTGGAGACGTATCAAGCTACGTGGAAAGAGAAAGAAAGAAACAAAGCCTTCAAAACTAGGGAGAAAAGAAACAACAGAAAAGCAGCATGTGAATTTTTCTCTTTATATAAACCAATACATCTTTGCATGAAGGTGAATGAAAGGGAGATCACCACCAAATTTAAAATTTTGTTTTTCTAGATATTTGCTTTCTTGCTTTTGTTTCTCACCATTGAACATATATTATTTAATCATTTAAAAACAACTCTTTTTCACCATGACCAGTAGAATGGGACATGAAAAGGTGGAGATAGCAAGTGTAGAGAACAGAGAACTCTTCCAGGGAGTTCCTTCTATGTCAGGAAGCCAAGAAATGAAGTGCACCTGGAGACACATACAAGGACAAGATGATGTTACTTGTTATGTTACTCAAGATGGATGAGAATAATCCTGTAGCAAGGGGCAACTAATGATTCAGGAAGAAAAGGTGGTAATTGCTGAATGGAAATCCTTGAGTATGCAAAGGTGAGATCTTGTGTTGAAACTAAGAACTGAAATGTTCAGCCACCATTATAGGAAGGAAGCCAGAGTTCATGGGTAACGGTGCAGGTAGGTTGGTAGAAGATTCGTGGCCTGTGGTAGCCATGAGATTGCTCCTTGCAGGCCTCTTGCTACAGGACTGTAACTACTCCAGGGCCCACAACTATCCCAGGGCCCACAATTTCCTCTGAAATCTATTGCCATATTCACACCAAGCCCATACCCCCTCAGACTGCTCTTCACCAAGTGCAGTAGGGACACTAAGGTACCATCTAATGCTGGTAGACAATGCTCTTCTGTTGGCCTAGTTCAAGAACTTTTGAAGGTTTTACCAAACATTCCTTAGACTGCATGGCAGTTTATGACAGACAATCCAATCCCAATGGGTGTCTCTCCCTCTCTCCTTCTCTTCCTGTTTCTTTCCCTCCCCTGGTCTGATGATTCTCAAACCTTCCACAGCTCCCTATTTCCTTTCAGAGAAGCATTTCTCCTAATAAAGTCCTTGCACATTTAATTCCATGTTAATGACTATCACTCCAAGGACCTGGACTAACCCCAGTGGTAACATGACTGGTCTGAGAAATCAGGCAGTCAGATAGTGATTTGGGACTGATTCACCCAGCACTCAGCTAGCAGAAGGGAAGCCATCCCCACATCCTGTATATGGGGCACCAACAGTCCCTGGCTCTAGGTGGTGATTCAATTGCTAACACTTTTATCAGCAGTGACCTGGGAAGATGTCCTGGTAGAGGTGAATTGCCATGACAAGCACAATGGAGTAAGCATTTGGAAAACAGAATTAACGAAGATAGAAAAGTTGGCTGGTTACTACTAAGTACTTTCTGAAGATCTGCAGAAGGTTAGTGAGAGACTGCGAGGCATCACCTTTAATGACTAAGCATAAGAGTCTGAATGCCTCAGTGGAAGTTTGTAAAGACGTCATCTCAGCTGTGAAAGCACAGACACCATCCAACAGTGGACTATAGACTTGGGAGTCACAAGGTTTCAGACATATTTGGATACATAGCCAAGGAAGGTCTGTTACAGGAAGTGATTGACCCTGGTAGGGAAAACCTTCTATCCTAGACACTGACAAGACATAAGACATTGACTCTCCCACCACTTTCCCCCATGACACTCACCCGCTCAGAGAGGTGGCCCAGCTCTCTGAATTAAGAGTAGCATTTCTGCAGCACTACAAAATGCTGAAAGAGCCTCTCCCCCACCCACAAAGCAACAGTGCCCCCACCTACTCTTCTTGGGGTACCAGACTGAAACCTAGGGTTAAATGCCAGCATAACACAGCTGGTGACATGCTGGGCCTTATAAGGGATGAAAGAATTACAAAAGTAACACGCATGTACTAGCAGGAGTGGGGGAGC